TTTTTATTACTCTGTATCACATAAGGTATGAAGAATTCAGTATCAGTAGCAATATTCTCCTGAAATTTTTTTTTTTTTTTTTTTTTTTTTTTAACCACAACCACCACTTTTTCCTTGTGGTTTCCTAGTTATTTTAGGGAAAAGGAAAACCATGGGAGAAAAATATATTCAACTTCTATGTTTTAAGCCTAGTTTTATGGAGCATTGAAACAGGCAAGGCAAAGATTTATGAACTGAAAGAGTGTCTATTTCCATACGATGGTGACCATCTTCAGGGCTGTTCATGCCTTGCTTCATTTTTAGGTAGCATTATGTAGATGAAATTAGGCTTTGGGCTGGACATGGTGGCTCACGCCTGTAATCTCAGCATTTTGGGTGGCCGAGGCAGGCAGATCACCTGAGGTCAGGAGTTTGAGACCAGCCATGGCCAACATGGTGAAACCCCATCTCTACTACAAATACAAAAATTAGCCGGGAGTGGTGGCATGCATCTGAAGTCCCAGCTGCTTGGCAGGCTGAGGCAGGAGAATTGCTTGAACCCGGGAGGTGGAGGTTGTAATGAGCCAAGTTTGCGCCACTGTACTTCAGCCTGGGCGACAGAGCGAGACGCCATCCCCCCTGCCCTACTCAAAAAAAAGAAATTAGGCTTTGACAGACTGAATCATGTTCTGTGAATAGTGTTGGTGTAGCTCATTTTGAGCAAACGTCCTGTGTGTCTTATTAAAGAAAGACAGGAAGCCAGCAGCTGAGCTGTGAGTACTGCGCGCAGTGACTGGTTTCCTGTAGATGTGGGTGCAGCTCAGTTACTGCTCTGTTTGATGCACTGGGCATCGCTTTACTTAGGCGGGTTCTGACCACTGCTTCACAGGGCCAGAGACCTGTCTTGTAGAAGAGAGATTCATCTGGGGCAGAGGTACAGGAAGATTGATTTCAGTTCAGTATGAGAAAGAACTTTCTAAAAGTCAGGCCTCTCCAGAAGGCCAGGCACAGTGGCTCATGCCTGTAATCCCAGTACTTAGGAAGGTCAAGGTAGGAAGACTGCTTGAGCCCAGCAGTTCAAGACCAGCCTGGGCAGTGTGGCAAGACCTTGTCTCCACACACTGAAAAAGAATTTTTAAAATTAGCTGGGTGTGGTGGTGTGCATCTGTGGTCTCAGCTACTCGGGAGGCTGAGGCAGGAGGATTGCTTGAGCCTGGGAGTTTGAGGCTGCAGTGAGCTGTGATTGCGCCACTGCACTTCAACCTGGGCTACATAGCAAGACCTTCTCTCTAAAAATAAAAATAAGCTGGGCGTGGTGGCTCACATCTGTAATCCTAGCACTTTGGGAGGCGGAGGCTGAGGTGGGCAGATCACTTGAGGTCAAGAGTTTGAGACCAGCCTGGTTAACATGGTAAAACCCCATTTCTACTAAAAATACAGAAGGTAGCTAGGTGTAGTGGTGTGTGCCTGTAATTCCAGCTACTCAGGAGGCTGAGGCATGACAATCACTTGAACCTAAGAAGTGGAGGTTGCAGTGAACCAAGATTGTACCACTGCATTCCATCCTGGGAGATGAAGTGAGACTCTGTCTCCAAAAATAAAAAAAATTAAAATAAATCAAATAAAAAAATAAAAGTTATATCCCTTCCTTGCTAGAGGCTCTTGGGGAATCTCATTCACAGGAATTGCCCCTATATGAGTTCCTGAACATATCACATAATTACTCTTGATTCTTTCCAGACAGGAGGCTTCCTACCCAAAACACCCATCCTGCCCTGTTTCTCAAGAGAGCAGAGAACCAGTGTTAACTAAAATTTTTGTGTGTTTACAGTATGATGTGATTATGCCCATTTTACAGATGAGAAAAGCAGATTCTTGTAGAGGTCAAGATGGTCAAAGCTTCTTACCTCGTAAGTGGTTGAGTTGGAATTTCAGCTATATCTCAAGTTGCTGGGCCCAAAACTCGTAGAATATTGACATATTTTATTAGTTAAAAAGATGCCTTCAGGTACAAGCATTGCTGGGGGAGGTAATGAGCTCTGTGTGGAAAGGTGTTTACACACACTCTAGGTTGAATAACAGCTTGTTGGGATATTTTAGAGGAGATTCAAACTTTAGCGTTGTTGGATGACATGATATTTAAGGTCTTTTCCAACTTTTTGATGTCATCATCAGTATTTTGTTCAAATCTAAAAGACACATAGAATGTTCTCCCTCACCTTGATTAAACAATTATTTTATTTCAGTGAAGAAAATATTTGGAAGCTCTGTGAATACATCAAAAACCATGACCAGTATCCTTTAGAAGAATGTTATGCTGTCTTCATATCTAACGAGAGGAAGATGGTAAGTTGGTGAGTGATTGCAGAAAGAAAATAAGAGATTTAGGATGACATTAGAAGCTAAAAAAAAAAAAAGAAGTTAAATATAGCATGGGTATAGTACTCTTCTGAAGTGTGCATTATAAAATACAGCAACATTTAAAAGTTTGCTTTTGACTGAGATTTTTTTCCGTACAAGGCATGATTGGGTTAGAAGGGTTGAGTCACTTTTGTTGCCCAGGCTGGAGTGCAGTGGTGCAATTCTCGGCGCATTGCAACCGCTGTCTCCCAGGTTCAAGTGATTCTT